CAAATTTTGTAACCCTTGAATCAATGTTATTTTGGGACAAAAGCTGAACTATTAATAATATGTTGTTATTTTTTTAGGGCTGCGGCTGATAATGTCTGTCTTAAGAGGTTTGATTTTTGAGTTTGACTTTTTTTATTTTTTTCGGTTTGGTATAATAAAGTACCTACATCATTAGAATTGTTTTTCATTACTTATCAAAATTTCAATTTTTTGAACCAAACCCGCGCCAGTTCCTTAATATTTTTAAACACATTTGTTGAAACGAATTCCACCAGATGATGCTAGGTTTATACAGGGTGTCCCGTGTCCCAGAAATAAGTGCAAATATTTTAAGGGGTGGTAGATCTCGACAAAAGAAACATATTTTTTCTTTGTCGTTTTTCAAATAAGTCCAAAATAACGGAGTTATTGTACTTTGAAAATTTCAAAAAAAAAATTTTTTCCTGAAATTTTGAGAACCACTGGATCTTTTCTGGATTTTCTTCCTTGTAAATTTAATATAATACCTATGTTGCCATATTATCAAGAAATTAAGTTTTTAAAAGTTTTTAAAAATTAAAAAATTTCCAAAAAAAATTTTCAAAAAATTTCGAATTTTCAAAATTTTTTTTTTCGCGAAAAAAACCTAATAGGCGTGTTTCTGGGGTTGTACTATACTACCAGTTAAAATATTTGCACTTATTTCTGGGACACCCTGTATATACTTTAGACGTTTCCATAATATGTCGCCAAAAATATTACCCTCTGTCAAAATCTATTACCATTTTCAATGGGAACTTGTTACCTTCTGCCACATCAGTCTGGCAACACTGTGTCCGAATCACCTAAAGATCACTTAAGCAAAAAAGGTTAGAAGACAACGTTTATTCGACGTCGCAGAAGCTTTTACTGTGTTGTAGTACTAGTTCAACGTCGGCACAACGTTACAAAAACGTTTCCATTTATTTTAAACCTAACTATTTTTTGTAACTAATCCAACGTTGTGTTTAGTAAACATGTGGTCGCAAGTCGTGAAAATGCTACTTTGGCAAGTGTACTTGGTTCAAGTACACTTGGACCGTACCATCCCGCCTTAAATAATAAATATTAAAATATGTACATAAACTCTTTTTCTGGGTACATCACTAATTATATGCACATTCTCTCTGCATAATGATTAGAAACACTTCATTTAAAAATGAGCATGCACTTTTAGTATACAATAACCGTTTAGGTGAATACTAATTTTTACATAATATATTCTTCCAAAAATTTACACAGGTTGATCACAATATTCAAGGGTATTTTTTCTTTAAAACATCACATAATAAAATCCGATGAGACTTATTAGACAACATTGGGTTGATAATAATTGAGCGATATTATTGTGCCAAATATCACCGACAGGCTACTGTAAAATTAATACAGAATATGTAAGAAGCCTAATTATTTAAATGTGTTACTAATTGATCCTGTTTTGAGATTGTATAAATTGATTAGTTTCTGAAGTAAACTTAATATGATAAATTGATTTTTGTACGAAGGCATTGATCTACATAGTAGATATTAATAACTAATTTTCGGAAATATAATTTCCTCGAAAAAATATACCTGTAGAGTATTAGTTTTACGGGTAGTCTGAAGGCTATATATGAAATACATATATAAAAAATCATTTTTGAATAATGCTTACACTTTAATAATACAATCTTATCAGTGCGCCATTATTGTTAATAATAATCAACACTGGGTTGTAACATAATAATACTTTTAGATAATTTTTAAAAAACGATTAGACATGATACTCATGTGAAAATAACAAGACCACCATCCATTTTTTTTTAAATTATATAAGTTATAGTTTGTTATACGGAGATAATTGGTTTTGAATGATCTTATTATTGTTCCAAGAACTGTATCAGGCTATTTTGAAATACTCGAATGGAAATATTTGCAAGGAAGAAAGTTATTGCTAATTTAATATACGAATAAGAGGGAATAAATTGATAGCAAGTTCTATAGAATCCTTTTAGACGTTTTAAAAACGTTTTATAAGAATATTTTCTACTCCCTTTATATTCCAAATATATTTCTGCTTCCACAAAACAAAATATTAAAAAGAAAAAGCTTCATATCAAATTTTATTTTCTTTACTAGTAGCACATATTTCAAAAATATTTCATTCTTTTAGTTTTAAAGATTTTTTAGAGAAAAATTAGTTTGCAAAAATGCTATACTGTCATAGTATATATACCGAATGTTTTTTAATATTCAGGGTGGATCAAATTATATTCGGGAAACTTTGGCAGCATATTCTACAGATAAAAATAAGTAAAAAGGTTCTTATAAATTTATTGTCCTAAAATGTTTCGTTTTACTTCGATACACGGTGTAGAAGTTTTATTTTTATTTTGATTTTTCCAACTAAATATCTGCATTAACGTCGATATTTCGATGAAAACTGGGTGTTTTTTGACATGAGTAGATAATAGTCAATAAACTGAAATTATATATTTAGGAACTCTTTATCGTTTTTTTAATTAATCACAATTTTTTCTAGAAAAAAATAAATATTAATAATAACCTTTGGCACGAAACCATTTCAAATTTATTTTTTCAGTCTAATAACTACCTATTCTACACCCTGTATATCCGATGCGAAGCATTTTAGAATATATAAATTTATACCAACTTTTTTACTTATTTTTATCGGTAGAATAAGTTGCCAAAGTTTCCCAAATACAATTCTCACCACTCGCTATTGTTATATACAGGGTGAGTCTTAAATAAGTGCACATATTTTCACGGGACTGGTAGATCTCGATGAAAGAAACATATTTTCTCGTTACTGTTATTAAAGTAAGTCCAAAATAGCCGAGTAATTTAACTCTGAAAATGTAATTTGCACTCGTAATAACTTTTGTTGCAGTAGTATAAGTCTTTTATCTTTTATCTGTCCTATTATTTGCCGAAAACATGTTATGACAGTATTTCAGCCTTCTTCTAAATTTAATCTGTCTGTATTGCCATATTATCAAGATAATAAATATTATGTTTTTAAGTAAAAATAAAAAAAATCAAACATTATTTTTCGAAAAAATACAATTTTTTTTTCGCATAAAGAACATTGACATTTATTTAAGACTCATATGAAGTTTTCTTTTTCTGCACGATGAGCCACCCTATATATGCATATGATAAATTCAAATATCTAGAATGGTGATTGAAAATGATTTAAACGAAAAATTTCTGACAAAAGACCTATTACGAAAATAAATTAGTAGAAACAATAGAGAACCAATCAAGTATTCCAAAATAAATAATATTAAGGTTTATAAATTATGGTTACAGAAAAAAAAACATCAAGTCATGGTCGGAAAGTACACAATGGCGGTCATAATAAACGACTTTTCACGAACAAAGATCGCTAATGTTCGAATTGAAAAACGGACTGACCAGAGGTGAGTTTATATAGTATGGCACAATTCAAATCAGCCACATTCATTCATTCGGTACTAGAGCGGTATAAGAGTACCTACTTACCTTGCACTCTGTTTCTGGCCGCTGATGTCCTGCAATTTCATATATTTGCCGCTAGAAGGTTTTCTACTGTCCAAAAACGAAGTGTGCTGTGTTCTACGTCTGTATATACATATTCTGTAAACAAAAATATTGTTATTAGTGGATTATTTCGTTTATAATTATTTATTGTGATCGAAGTGTGGAAATAAAATTATCTTATTTGTGTTGATTTTTTTTCGAGGGTAGTTTTTCCTTATTATTTTCTTTTTTAGTGAAATAAATTAATAAAAAAAATTATTATCGATTAATTCATAAAATATTTTTTTTTTTGGATAAAACTGATATAACTTAGTAAATCTTTTTTAAAAAACTGAAATTTATATAAAACAGTATCACATTTTTAAAGACTAACTATAATACTAAATAATGTTATTTTATAATATATTTTTTTAAATTATAATATTAAATATATTTTTTAAATACTAATTTAATATTTATCGGCATATCATAATTTTTATCTTTCTGAAAAATGAATATTGTCAAAATAATAAATATTTTATATTATGATAGTGCCATAAATATATGTTTATTAGTAATGTATTAAAAAAATGCGAAATAAAATAATTTTTAAATAATATTTTTGTGATAAGTGAAGAAGTGAAAATTTAATTAAATGTAAAGTCATTTTAATTTTTAAGATATATTTCTGTCAGAGTATTTTGAAGATTGATAGATCAATATAGTCTGTAAATATATTTTCATCATTTTATAAAATTTCAGACATGATATTTCGTAGAAAATACTAATCAACATCAACTAGGTAATTTTAAATGTTAATAAAGTAATTAATACATATTCTATACAATTACTGAAGGATGTTATTTAATTGATGACACAAAACATTGATGAATTCCATTCGTGTTAGTGTATGTTAGATGAATTAATTCTCATAATTAACACAATTATTCTGTCGCATTTTTGCAAACAAAAATCGATAGAGAAGAATGCTGCGAAAAGTCAACGAAGCGTCGAATTTTTCTGTTATTGTTCGCGAGAAAAAACCCACACATGCATTCCTATAAAATTGCTCGTCGCGGTAGCTGATGGAGAGAAAAAATATATTAGGGGGGGAGGACACCCATCCGTCACGTGATCACTTTTCGAAACACACTACATAAACTGCGAACATGCGTCTGCAAAATGATTCCAATTTAAGAAAGCGACCTGTTCGCCACTTAAGCTTAATGTGTAATTGCCCCCTTCAGTACATCAACACATAGAAACACAAAACACCACAATCTTCTACCACAGCCATCATTCATAAAATGTAATTACAATATACTCTACTTCAAGGGCAATATTTGTAATTGCTAATTTCCAATACGGTGTAAAGTTAATTATTTTTTTCCGAAACAAAATCACAGCGTTCTTTTAGATATTTTTTTAGTAAGCATCCAGACACACAACACACTACAACAGGACAAAAATATTAGGTTAGGTTTAGTTTGTTTGTCGTTTATTATTAAATTAAATTATTAAATTAAAACTAAAATAGCACTAGGACATCATACTACATACATGGACTTAACGACTAATGTTATGATTAAAAAACACAGAGCATGCTCCTATAGTTAACATGCCGCTAGCAGGTACTCAAAAATATAACAAGAGAGATATTAAAATTAGATCACATTTTAAATAATACTATTTTAGCTTTTACGTCTTAAGCCGGCATTGTATTTTGATTAAATCTAGATTTTCACTAAGGAAAAAGGAAAACTAAAACAGCCAACTGAAAACGCTCGGCTATATATTTTAAAAAATATATATTTTTCTTTGTTCTATTAGACCTATGCGTTTAAAGGAACTCGAGAAATACTCATTCGGCACAAAGTCCGCACGACAAATAATAATTTTAATTTAAAATTATTATCCTGTCACTATTAATTTTCTAATATCACACACGTCTCTTGTCATTTTCCACAAAAATTGAATCCTGAAACAAAAGAAAGTAACAATTAGACAACTTGTTTCTTGTATCGTATAAATGAAATTGGCAGAAAGTTTATCAAAAAAATTGCAAGATAAAATTTGTTCAAAGTAATGATTTCAACTTTTAAAACTGGCAACAATTTCTTTAGTCAATTTAAGCAACACTAACTTGTAATATTTTGAGATTTTTACCACTGAAAATAAGAAAAAGAAGCAAATATACTAAATTAAAGATTTTTCAAATTTGAGAATGTCCTTGTATTTTTCATAATTTTCAAGACATCTTTTATTTACCATCCTGACATCCCCTGTCAAAATATAATAGACTCCTACTAGTTATTTTTAAGTTCGAAATATTAATATAAATTCGTCATTAATAAGTTGAAAAATCAAACTAGAGAACTGCATTTTTAATGTTGTTCAAGAAATAACGAAGAAGTATGCTTTGTACTTTCATTATTGTCCGGTTTTATATTTTAGCAGTTGTTTTAGATTGGTCTCAAGTGGCAAAAACACCCAAAAATGACGAGAGCTACTTTTTCACTATAAATATTTAATAAAATAATTAATTTCTTCTACCATTTCAAATATACAATCTGTCTTCAATTTTATAGATCATCTGTGTAAGAAAAATCACTGGACTTTCCATGAAGTATAACGATAATATTCTTTAATACATTTATTTTTTTAATATATGGCAACAATCACTTTCTCTTTCAAGAACGTTTAAATAAAAGAAAATATATTTAGTAAATACGGAAATATAAAATGCAAAAATTTCTTGATCAGAATAATCGGAATAACTGTGCATTTTACCTAATTATTTTGACCAATTATCAAGCGTTACGTAGCACTATCTATACAGATTGAGTGCAAAAAGCGATACATGCATATTAAATACAGACCTGTGCGCACTATACAGGATGAGTTTTAAATAAGTGCAAAAATTTTCAGAGCTGGTACATCTCGATAAAAGAAACATATTTTCTGTTTACCGTTTTTCAAATAACTCCAAAATAACCGAGTTAATTTACGTTGAAAATTTAAGAAAAAATATATTTTAGTTAAATTTTGAGAACCACTGTATCTTTTCTGGGGTTTCTTTCTTGTAAATTTAATCTAGGTACTGCCTATGTTGTCATACCTATGAAGATATAATGTTTTTCTAACTTAAAATTTAAAAAAAAATCAAAATAAATCCAAATTTTCAAAGAAAAAATTTGGCTTCTAGACGTGTTTCTGGGGTCGAAATATACTACCCCTAAAAATATTTGCTCTTATTTAAGACTCACCCTGTATAATCAATATTCACATTTTCAAGTGAGACGTGCTGGGAGACATAATTTAATAATTACATTCGAAATTTGTAATTACAGGTGATTAATTTACAATTGGAAGAAAACATCATTAAGGGAACTGTGTCTCTGATAATCTCGGTGTCATGTTTTCCAAGTTTAATTAATGTTGTTTTAAGCGAAATGGGTTTTTTTCCTACTGATTTTACATTGGAAAGAAATACCTTAGATTTGTTTTAAAGGAACAAAACGTTGTGGAGAAAATAATTACGTTTTACGTTACTGTTCAATTAAAGTCATGGTGCCATACAATTATATATCTTTATATATATATATATATATATATATATATATATATATATATATATATATATATATATATATATATATATATATATATATATATATATATATATATATCTTTGAAAAGTAAAAGGTGAATAATATGGAGAAATTTTCAGTATTTCTTTGTTTCTCGTAAAAACGCAAATTGCTCTGTACTGCACAGTACATGTTTTTATATTCATCTTCTTATAAATTTAGGATTTTGATAATTTAGACTTAGTTCCAGTGCCCACGGTGCGACTGTTTTGTGACAAAATGTTGCAAATTGGTTGAGCTTGCAACCATTTTGCAACCCCGATAACGTATAGCAGTGTGAAGAAGTACACGAATTGATTCGAACGGAACTAGTTTGCAATCAGTCACAAATCTGTTGTTTGTGAAATTTTAAGGGGCTGGACCTTAGTGTGAACACTAAACTAATCTGTGCAATTTCAACTGTATATAAGAAATGAAAAAAATTAGACAGATTCTGCCCTTTTGTTTGCTATTTTTCAAACAATTCAATATCTTTACTGTTTCTCTAGGTCTTTGAAACTAACTAAAAGATAACCAAAAATGGACATTTTTTGATAGCTCATAAACAATGGCTCAAAAAATTAATTTTCTCACAAAACTAAGGAGTCGAAGCCATTAAAGTTGTAGATATTCTGAATTTAAATACAATTTTCCTACAAATACTGAAACTGTCTCTAAATTATTGTCGTAGGTGGGTGAAGGGTTACTCTTCACATAACCATTAAGGTTATATTTGTATTATATAACAAAACAATTGTCAATAAATTTATTGGAAGACATGACTCAAGGACATATGACGCGTAAATAGACATGAAATCATTAATTACTATTTAGCCATAGATACGCTTGTTTAACACGAATTTGTAACATTAAATAAAATTTATTCTATTACAGCAAATTTTGATTGTTATTGGATTATGTGATTATTTTTAATAGTTCTACAAGAGCAACTTCATTTAGTTTCTTATGATATTTTTACACAGCAGGTATTATATTTGCTTTTGTTAAAATCAGATTGTACAGGCCTGTAGAAAAGAAAATCCTAGTGTACCTATACACTAACATGATCTATTGAGAAATACTATAAACAGAAATTATAAATGATACATACCTCACCCTATGAATCCAGCTGACATCGTAACTAACAGTGCTATAAGCGCTGTAGTTACAGAACTGATACTGGAACTGGCAGTTCGAGGTTCCATGACACTGGCTGAAGTAAGAGGCAAAGGTGGATCTTCGACTCTTACAGTACTTGCGTACCGATGGAGCAAATCCAGAATGACAGCGTTGGACCAGCCAAAACCGAGCTGTACTTCGTATTCACCCCCTGTACCATAGCCTCCAAATACTGTAGCGTCATACTGTAACAAAAAAATGCAAATTTATTTTGGACACACGAAAGAGTTATTTACAAACAAACAGTATTTTTTTTTATTGACGTAGTTAACATGATGGACACTACTCACGTGCCAGTAGTGTAAACATATTTTTTTCATGTGGGAATAACAAAAAATTTGACGCGATTGAAAAAAATAATTGTCCAAAAATCTGAATCAGATTGAAATTAAATTTTCTGAAAACTAAAAGTATTATAGGGTATTTATGCATTGGCGAATTGATCTTATGAAACTAAAACACAAATTTGAGACGCTTTTAAAAAATAACCTAGATAGGTGCATTGTTCGAACTAGTTCAATCTGGTTTGGTTTTTTGCCTCGGCATGTTTGCAATTAAATTGAAACATATTGTAATAATTTGCAAAGGAATGTTCAGTGATATAAGAATAGAAAAATTTAGGACTTTTTTAATGCAAAATATCGAAAGTTAATAGCTAGCTCAAAAGAAATTTGCCAGGTAATTTTATATTGCATGTGTGTGTGCAAAACAAAATTCAGTATACCTATACAAAATTATTAGATATTTTTTTAATTTAAAACCACTTGTGGGGCTATTAATAAATTAATAATGATTAATAATGAATTATTAATGAGAGCTCACTAATTCAATGATAGCAATATTTTATTAAGAAAGATAGATCACCAATCCCGCAGGGAGGTAGCAGAGCTTTCGTCATGCTACTTTGGGGAGTGACGCCCCCACGGATCCTAGTTACCTGGGTCACCTAGGGTAAATGGTGACATATTAGTAAGTAGAAGCCCTTTATTGACAGCCCTTATATAGAAACTCTCGCCAATACATACAAAAAAGCTAAAGCAAGACTAATGATATATAAAACAACCTCAGAGTTTCCATCTGACAAAGGAGTATGACAGGGACAGAGGGAGATGCGATATCCGCAAAAATGTTCACAGCAACACTAGAAGAAATTTTCCGTCAACTGGATTGGGCCAACAAAGGATTAAAAACAGATGGAACCATATATGATGAAACCATCTAAGATTCGTTGATGACATAATCCTAACTGATAATAGTCCTGAAGAACTGGAAGCACAAATTAACAGCCAGCAATAAAGTAGGTCTTAAAATGAATTTAGTCAAAACTAAGGTAACCAAACCAAACCAAACCAAAAAATGGGTAACGTATAAAAATGACACAACGAATTAATAGACAGAAAAGACATTCTAATAACTGGAAAATAGTAGCAGCATATACATATATATAATATATTTGGGACAACTAATACACAGCTCGGGATCTCTATACTACCCGAAATCCACAGAAGCATTGACTTAGCATGTAGTACTTATGGAAGAATCTCAATCATATGCAAATCTATAATGCTACTTTATTTAAAGAAAAAACATTGTAGGTCGCACAACATTCAATGGAACTAACTCTGGACCGTAAAAGATTAAAGTGGATACGACAAAAGATCCAGGTAATAAATGTCATTTACAGAATCAAATACTTCAAATGGCAATGGGCAGGACACCTGATGGCAAGAAGAACGGACAGAAGGTGGGCCACAAAAATTACAGTTTGTTGGGTTAGGAATTAAGAGACCTAAAAGAAGATCAAACCTGAGTTGGGACCATGATATTAGGAAATTAGCAGGGATCACGGGAATTAACACTTGATCTGGTATGGCTAACAATAGACAAAAATGGGCCCAACTACAAAGAGAGTATATAAATATGTGAGGGATGCTACACCAATTATTGGAAATGGTTGAATAAGCTGAAAATGATGGTGATGATGATGAGATGCACACAGAATATTTAATAGCTGGCTAGTCGTGTAAGTTAGTCTTAGCAATAACTATAGTTCAATCAGGTTCAATCACATATTACAAAAAAATGATAGTTATATTATATTTTTTTTATTTATATTTCTTTCCTTTCTTTTTTTCCTTATAGGTATTTGTTTCTTTATTTTTTTTTCCTAATATTTTTTTTCCTTTCTTGTTTTTCTATATTTTTTTCTTCCATTTTTTCGATTCTCTTTTCTCTTTTTTATGATTTATTTTCTATTATATATTTTTTGATTTGTTTTCTATTATTTATTATTTATTTCTATGATGGTTTTACCTTCCTAGTTTTTCTTTATTTTTTTGACATGTTAAGAAGGAAAAAATTCTTCCTCTTTTTCCTGATGTTTTTTTTTCTATTACATATATTTTTTCTATCTTTTTTTTATATATTTTTTTCTATATTGTTTCCCTATATTTTTTATCTTTTTCCCCCTTTTACTTAATTTTTGTTCGTAGTTTTTTCCTGTGATATTTTTTCATCCCTTTTCCTATGATTTTTTTTCTGTAATGTTTTTTACTTTTTATCCTATATTTTTCCTTAAGTACTTTTTCTTTCTTCTTAAAGGCAATATATATTTTTTTTAGTTTTCGCCATGTTGGGTATGTCGCCAGCATCCAGGGGCGCACTAACAAACGCAGCTATTATTTTTTATCTATTCAACGGTGCAGTGGCGGGGTATTTCTCAGCAAGACTTTATAAAACAATTAAAGGCAGAGAATGGAAAAAAGCAGCTTTTCTTACAGCTGTTCTATACCCGGCAATCATTGCATTCTCCTTCTTCATTCTGAACTTCTTTATATGGGGTAAGTTTATTTTTAACCCTGTATATTAAATTTAATTCTTTCTTCAACGTTGAGACACGAATGGGTGTAAAAAATAAAATTTATAATAGTACACAATCAGATTTTGTAGAACTAAATATGGAGACGTAAACGACATGATTTTGGGAAGGGCATATCTATCAACCAGTTTGAGTTTTTATAGTAGTTATTAAATATATAATACGACCATTTTATGAATCTATTCCATCTTAAAAAATAATTTAACCAAATATTTGGTTTAATAATATCTCAGGAAAATTTAAACCAATATTGCACGATGAAGGAATTTGTATTTGTGTGTGTATTTATAGTATATATGTCTATAAGATTATTAGGTTAACAGTATAAAATACCGAAAATCGACAAAATACTAAAAAATGCACAGTAGTATTTTATGTTTACTTCCTGTTTTATTGTTAAATGAAAATCGATTATTTCAACTGTGGCCGCGTGTGTTATTTTAACTTTTTTCTCAATATTTTTGGCTCGTTACGGCTTCCAAATTCGTATGTCCTGCTAATTCAAACTTCGTTCGCAAATGTTAACGACCATGCCTTTGGACGCACATAGACAAAAATATTTTCTAATAATATCTCTTAACTTAAAGGGTCTCTTCTCCACCTACAGAGTTTGGCGCTCCGCCAGTGGCAAAAAAAATAACGAAAATTGTTTCTGCTTTCTGAGATATTTATTACAATAAATGACGGGTTGACACTATTCCGATGGCAAAAAAACTCTAAAAACTACGGCAGTGTGAAAATAGATTTTAGATCTGGTTAAAAAGTTCCAGATATTTTTATAAAAAAAGTTGAAAAAAATATATCAGTGTGATGGAATTTTTGGTGAGCGACAGAACTCAACTACCAAAAGATACATTTGCATCTACAAGGCATAATTTAGTTTTTAGCAGATATTTAATAATTAAATTATTGAAATAAGTTAGCTAATCTTTTAAATAAACTTAACAGCGTGGGCTCTTAAAATTTTCTACAGAAATATATTTTATACATATTTTACTTCTTATGTAACAAATGCAAAATGCCGTGTGATTAAATGAAGTCATGATAGTTCTACAGCCTAAATTCAGTGACATAGAAAAGCTCAAAGCCATTTTATTTATCTGGCAACTATGTCACCCATTTTATTCACTCATAGGGATTTTATTAATAAAATATATTTGTTTTGATCTATTCTAATTTTAGACAAAAGTTTAATGTTTTAAGTGTTGATCATTAGTCCTTACTACGTGCGGCAGTGAAAGATATAATATATTAACTAGGCTAATCAATTTTGACCTTTAACAATAATTTTTTAAAATGTTTTAATCCGTTATAAATAATTGTAAATAATTCTACACCGATATTTTATCAGAGACTAATAATAATAATTACGCGTACGCGAAAAAAAGCGTGATTGTAGACAAAATAATATTTTGAACGTCATGATAAATGGCTGGTGTTTTGGGTAATGGAAGTTTTCAATATTAAAGGGGGGGGGGCATGCATCATCCATCGAATGTAATCGTGTAATCGAGTGCCAAGGCTGTACAATATCATTGAGTGGGACCAGCTATCGCAAAAACGTGATACCAACACATAAGGAAATAAAAATATGAAGTGCAAGGAACTTGGGAAAATGCGATCCATGGTTTAAAGATCACCAAAATCGGAAGTTTCTTATCGCGACGCCAATGGAAATTTATTTCAGAGAGGAAAATTTTACGATTTTTTTATCACAACTTAATTTGCGTTTAATTTTTAAATATGCCCTAATCAAGTATATGTACCTCTAACGCACATAATAGTGACACTTCTTTTTATATCTATAAGACGATTTTTAGATTTGACGAACCTATATGAATATCTCATATACAAAATACAGATACATTTATGCCAAACTAATCAGTTATTCTATATCTAGGAATATTTTATATAATAACGAATTGAATTAATTTTAATATTTTGATGGTAGCTTCTCGCGTTCTTCAATTTTGAACTGTGAACTTGTGTGTAAAAAATAATATATAAACCGAAATCTACTGTCTAGACTCATTATTTAAACTACTGTATAATTATTAAGTACGAAAATAATTGATTGAGTTGGTCAATAGTTTAAATTCCAAGAAATTCGATAGGGACGTTTATTTATGGCTTTATGATCCCTTTATAATAATGAACACAATAATACAAGTCTATTGCTGGTATTTTTTTTGGTCTTTAGTCTTTTAATTTTAACCTTCAAATTATTAGCTTGGTAAATTTCTTTTTGTTCTCATATAGCTAGTCACGAACTGAGCATGCATCCAGTTATATAGAAATTAAATATATTAGTAACATCCAGAGACCTATAATTTATTTTTACAATGCGTTAATTTTTGCGTTATTAATATAGTTTTCTTTTCTAGATATATTTTCTTAATTTTATATTAATTAATTTTTGTTTTCCGCTTTTTTTTTTCATTCTAAATGAAATTTCGATTGATTTATTTTTGGTCTGAATATATTACTTTGTTTGAAGGTAAATAAGTCAAGCAATAATGCTAATGTTTACGCATCCTCTAATTCTTCATAATCGAGGATGCGTGAACGTGATTGAAATCATGAGAGAATAGATTAACACTGGCAATTTTTTAACTAAATATTTTGACGATCAAAGAGTCATATGACAGGAAAATTAACTAATAAAATTTGTTCATCCATACCTTTTCGTACATCGCATCAGACTCCTTAAAGGCCTTGTAGTTCGATCTGATCCATGATTCAGCCAGTTCATAAGCCAGTCTTACAGCATATTCATCGCCAGTGTTGTTCAAACCGACGATCATGATGTGCTGTAATGGTGGCCAGGCATTGGGGTAATCCCACTGCTCACCAGTGTGCTCTACTGAACTAGGCACACCTCCTGGATACATAATATTCTTGTTTTGAAGGTATTTCAACACACTCCGTACGATTTTTTCCTTGTCACTTGCGTTATAGCATCCCGTCCATAGGGGCGAAATGTTTGTGGGGTAGAAATAATCCCTTTTGACTGCATTGTATAGGTCGTAGTCTAACCACGCACCGATTTCCTCGTGCCAAAGTACAGCCGTTGTGGCTTCTATCCATTGGTTGCCTATGTCGGTGTACATCCTGGCCTTCTCCTTGTTGTTAAACATCGTATTAAATTCGGATAGTAACACCGCATTCCAATAAATTAGGGCATTTAAATCCACCGGCACGATGGATCGGGTTTTAATGTTGGTTAAATTACCTGAAAAGATAATATATATTTTATTAGAATTGTCTTAGGGCATAAAACAACTGAAAAAATAAGAGAGACATATTTTGTTTTCAGGAAATCAATCCTATCTTCCTCAAATAAATCTTTATACCAGGAGTGTTGTTTTAAATGAAGAAATTTACTTACAATATTTTAATTAGAAGTCGTATTTTAAAAAAGGTGCCATTATTTGTGTGTCATCGAATGAGTACTATCACGCGTATCAGTAGGCGTATAAATTACATTTCAGTTTGAGATTACTTATGTCTAATATCTATGGCGCTTGATGATAGTGACATTGACTACTGTTCGTGATGTATTTGCACAATCAACTGCCATTGCCAATATTCAAGAACATGTTTAATTTTATAGCCTTTTCTGGCCTAGTTTTTCCTGTCAAAGAAGAGTTTGGGTTGCAAAAAGTTTATATTAGTGCTTAAACTTTTAAATTATAAGCTAGCTACAGTGAATATATTTAAGAAAATCTTAAAGTGTAGAGACTAATTTTAATATAATAGTAAAATATTTAATATGGGTACCTTTGTTTGTAGCATTGGTGATGAACCATCTACTTGAGAAATCCCAGCCAGATTCAGCTGCTGCTTTTAATTCCGAATAATAAGCTTCCTTTTTGTGGTCTTCTTTGAAAATAGCAGCACTTTCTACGTCTTCTGAGTAAGATTCCGGTCTAGGTCCTTGGGATTTGTCGCCGTAGACAGCCAGGGTGTAGTTTTTACCGTCCATGTGGATGTTTCTTGTATGTTCCCGCATCCAATATTCGAATTCTTTCTCCATCGTCGGTAAATGTTTCTCTATAAAGCTGACGTCGTGAGTAAAATCGTAGTAAGATTTGATCATAGGGATCAGAAACGGAGGTTGTGATCTGGCCAAATAATAGATTCTGCCTCCATTAGGAATGTGACCGTAGGTATCTACTATATACAAGAAATTTTCTAAAATTCCTTTGACTGTTTGTTTCATTTCTGAGAGCAAGAGACCTTGGATGATCCAATAAGTGTCCCAATAGTAAAACTCGCGGAACCGGCCGCCTGGAACAATTACAGGATTTGGAACCCAAATAATACTGAATTGATCTTGATGCTGTTTCACTTCGTCTTTCATTTTCCTTCCTAGGATTTTCCAGATATCGTTTAGCTTCTTCGCCCAATTTTTCAGTTCGTGGTCCTCAATTTGATCGAGAAACTTCGGATGGGAAGTCCAGTCTTCAGGATCCCAATCTTCGAATTCCTGGCCAGCAGGATCGAAGGTGTTTTCCACAAATTTCATTACTTCCGCCCTAGTCGGTCTCCTGTCTTTAAAATCTAACATAAATAAGTCGAACTTAGCTAAGGTTTCGTTGGGTGAGTATTTCATTTTCATGTCGACGAAAGTTTTTGAGTCCTCGTAGATTTTTGCCATCTGAATAGTGTCTAGGAGTCGTCCATGGCAGTAAATATCACTGAAACAATTATAGTTACCTTTTAGATGGCTGTCAGCCAAAATCAGGCGGCAAAAAAGTCAAAACGCGCACGTATGTTATTAGGAAAAATTATTAGCGGAAAGTATTAACAAAAAGTCCGCACATATATAATTACAATTGATATAGATATCATGAGGCAATATAATCGATTGATCAACGTTAAGTAAAGGTCGTGCGGTTTTAAGTTCAGAAACAATAAAGCAGGAAACGATTAATTAAAAAGGAATAACAAATCAGATTTAATTCTTACCTAAAGCATGTCGGAAGGAATTGCTCTTCCTCGCAGTAGCTGATTTGGGTTAAGCTGACTAGGAACATTACAAATACCACCACTCTGTGCGTCATTGTTTCAGTCTTGGTTACGAAATAATTTAATTAAAGAAAAATTAAAAGTTCTTAAATAAATTAACTTGAATCCTGAATCGAGTCAATCCACGATGGTTCTTGTGTAGGAATTTATGTAACTGAAGAGCACATCCACAAAATCATTCCTACGAAGAGAGAGAACATTAAACTAATTGCGGCGAGCACACAAAAATTTCAGAGTGTAAATCAGTGCCAAGAAAAGAGCGCGCGAATCATAGCTTAACTTGACAGAACCTCGTTGTTGTTACTGACTGTATAGACTCGCGGCTAACCAACTAAGCAGGTGATATAATTGTGCAAGTTCTGACGTATCGCCGTGACGTAGGAGACAAGCCCCTTCTCTTCTGCTCTGCGATTGGTCGCCCACAGACGCACCTCTAATGAGAATTTTAACTTGAAATTTTTACTATCCGCTTTGTACCTGACTTTACGGTCAAAGATCGTTATGACGTAGTCGATACTTCTTGAAGTAGTACCATAGCAACAATAAAAAGTACGATTTTTTTTCTTTTTTTGCATCTTCATCGTCAGACGTAATCCTGTTTGGAAATTTCGTTAATTGTTTTTTGCATTTCGTTGTTTTGAATCTGAGTCGCAAAATGTCAATTATTTGTTACATCACTATTTATCTAAGATGGTGTCACATCAAAATTCATATCGTTTCCTTAAAGAGTTAGATTTAAAACTTATATGAACCAAAATTCAGATGTGTTTTTCATTGAAACGGGTGGGTACTGCTATGTTTTAGGAAAAACTATAATAAGAATTGCACAATAAACGGTAATACCTACATTTCGAGGTATTTTTGGAACAGACGCTCACATGATTGGGGGCTCGGCTCCAAACAGTTCAACGTCATCAGTTATTTTTATGTCGATAGCGGTTGCGACTACATTGTTTAAATATTTACAGATAATGAAACGACATATTCAGCCATATTCGCTATTCATAAACACGTGCGCATTATGATAACTGTCATCATTCATTTTTATGTTTAAGTTTTCCCACTTGAACTGTTTTAATCCGACTAAAGGTCGAAAGATCATCTTTTTTTCCTCAATTATTTAATAACTAAGCCTGCTACAGTGAATGTGTAGTTATTAAGTTATTAAAGTTAATATTTGAAATATGCAGTTCTAAAAAATGGAAAATATGTTGATATTAAAGAACTGGTTCTTTCAAATAAATAGAAATATACCGTAGCCTTGGTCAGGAAGAAAGAATTTTCTTATTGAAATTGCGGCCTTGAATTATTGTTATGTACGTATAGTTAATTAAAGTCTTTGGTTTCATCTTTAATTGGACAAGTTATACACAAATTGGAAAAAAGTGACCTTCTTCTTAATACAGCTATGTATATCCCTTCTCTTGTGTTTATTTTAAATCAGTAATCATTTCAATAATGATTGCGGTTTTGTGGATTAAGAATATTGTCACCAACGGAGATAAGACAACTGTAAAATCGTAACGTAAAAATCACGAAAGAAAAGTTTAATCACAGGGAACTATTATATTAAAATATTTATATAACCGATATGGTTTTAATGATAAAATAATTATTATTTGGGTTTTCAAAATGGCAACAATAATTATTAAGTCTCTTATCGCATGGAAAACTTTTTAAGGCCAAAAGAAATGGCCAGTCAGAGATATATAAATCTGCTAAACATTTCAAAATTAACACTATAATAAATTCTGGACAATCTATTAAAATGTACATTCTTGCCGTTCTAGGTAATTTCTGAAACGAGTCTTCATTGGATCTCTGATGAAATTAACTGTGTAATTTGTTTCATAAAAGCCATAAAATAATCTAGTTTAAACATTTATATCTGAGCGCTTATGCTGTAAATTAGTGGCGGATGGATCTAAAGGGCACAGTGGCACGTGCCCTCCACCCGCCAAGATAAAAGAAAAAATAAGTACCTATATAATTGAGCGCATGATCATATTTTTACACTACACAAAATAAAAAAAAATATGATTTGATAAGACATTTTTTAACTATAAATATGGAAAAATTCAATGTGAAAATAACGGTTTAATAAATATCCCTACAATAGTAAACGAATAAACAAAATTGAATTAAGTCGGTTTAAGTTGTCTACATTTTTGAAACAGTCGTTCTCAATTACCAAAGTGCGAAATTATTTATTTGTAAATGCACATGTTCGTACACTCATACATTTTAATATTCTCTTCTTAAATTACTAAAAAAAGTAACACGTAGATAAAATCACGTGAAATATTTTTGGATTAAACCCAATTTGTGACACAGTTGGTTGAATTATCAAAACAGCTTTAAACACTTACACTGCCTATTTAGAAAAAATACAGTTTCGGAAAGTTTTCGAAGACAAAAATGTGTTAAATAATATAAAGCCGATAATCAACATGATTAATATATTTATAGACTTAATGGAGTCCCTTCTCGATGATTTTTTATCTTTTTAGCGTATATTTCTACCCGAAGGATGCTATTGTTGGGGCAAATTGGTGTGGAGTATTTTTTTTGGCCAAATACTATCCATGTTCCTGCTTTAGTTTTGGAAGCATCAGTATATCACTTTATGGTCTGGTCTTTTAACTGCCGAGCAAATTTTTTTCTCTTTCAATCCATTTTATTGCTCAATACTTCAGCGAGGTGTTTTTTAAAGTTATGCATTCTTGGTATGTCATCCACTGGGAGTTGGCAGAGTGGCATTTTCTTTTTGAGGGTGTTCCAAGCTCCTGAGTTGCAATTATTGCCAATTATTGTCATAATCTGCAGTGGTGTTACTCTATTGCGGCTATTTTGTATGATTTTATGACTCCTATGAAGCTATAATTAATGTAAGAAATGATCTTTATAAGTTATACTTAACCCTCAACTGGCGTGATGAATTCTTGTAACGCTTATGGCGTGGTGCGGTCCGACGGACCCCAATTTTTTATTCAGTTTAAAATACATGATGAAGAGATTTTATAAAAAAAACTTGTTATTTTAACACTGTTTACAATATATTCAAACTTGTGAACAAACAATTTCATTAATTTTCAACAAATTAATAAGAACGGACACAAAAATAAAGTAAAACGCATTTTTAGGAATTTTTGACAACAGAAATATAACTTATTGGCTAAGAAACCCATAGTAATTAAAAACATATATATTTTATGATTTTACCGTATTACTAAAAGTACAAACAACTGAAATATGAAGCTAAAGTAATAAACATAAATTATTTTCAACAAAACTGCAAACCTTGAATGTACATAACTTTTTCAAATACAGTTCATGCTAATATAGGATCTGCATTTGCCGCATATAGATCGTGCACATTTGATTCATGAGGTTTTTGTTTTATGTCATTTCTTCATTGACATATGGTTGCCATATACCACATCTCTTTGTTTTCTGGTACTGATTATTCAATTTTCTCTCTTCTATAAGCAAGGGATTCAGAATCGTAGTTATGGTTATTCTTCGAAGAAAAATCAATGTCTCGATGGTCTTCATCTCACTTAAGCCTCTTTAAGTTCATCAAACCACTCAATTAATGCTTCCTCAAAATTGGCGTCCCAGTGAGGCCCACTTTTTAGACTACCCACCATCCTAATAATGTAACATTCTTGGCGTGGTGGTGCCACACAGACCCCAATAAAACTTTAGCCCCCGCTGGTAGGAACAATACTTGATAAAATCAAGTGCGCCTTTAACAGTTGCATATTGGTACCCTAACTTAAAGGGAAATGGCGCGGCGAGGTCTAATTCTTAAATATAAACATTTTACAGAGGTTTAGTGCTTGAGGTCCGCTGGACCCCACCACGCCAGTTGAGGGTTAAAATATGTATAAAATTCAATATAAAGTGTCTCAACTAAAGCTTATTAGCTTCATATACTGATATTGTGTATCATTTTTAGAGTCGCTAGAGATAAAAGTGTATATTAATTTTATAAATAAACTCTAATATAATTACTTAGTTTAAGAAACAGCCTATTGCCACACGCCACTGAAAGTGCTGAAGGGCCGTATCTGATAAAAGGACTGCAGTTAAATGAATTCGTGACCGAAGGCATGTATGAAGTTGAGAAATGTTATGAAAGGTTGGCGAGAGTTATGAATTCTTGCGTTTTCATTTTGTGACTCTAGACACGTTGTAATGCTCCACTCGAACAGTGAATCATTTTTTAACGATCAGTTAGTTGTTAAGTCCTATTTAATCCACCCCATACTTTTTTTCTCTTCTAACAATTTAAATTGATACAAAATTTAATTAAAAGGACCAATGAATAAATTTAAACTGATTAGACATTTATTGTTTAACTATATGTATGTATAACTATATTATAAAAAATACAATAATTTTTATTAATATATTATTCGTTTAAATCTAATTATGATTTAGTTTACAGTACTGTAAATATTTAAATATTATAAAATTTTATACAGGGTGAGTCATAAATAAGTGAAAATATTTCAGGGCTGGTAGATCTCAATAAAAGAAACATATATTTTTAGCCGACCATACCAATAGCCAATAGGTATGGTAGGCTATTAAGATCGGCAAAAAAAAAGTTTTTTTAATTTCACTCAAAATGAGTTATTTGGGTCATAAATGACCTAAATACAAAATATTTTCATGGTGTCTGTCTGTCCGTCTGTAACACGATAACTCAAAAACCGCTAAACCGATTTTAACCAAATTTGGCACAAAAATACTGTGGCACCCGAGAATCTGGCCATTAGTTTTTGGTGGGGGTGGGGGATTGGTAAGGGGATATGGGAGGGGGTTAAAAATTTTAAAAAAATCGTAACTCCAAAATTACAGTAGCTAGCGAAACGCGGTTTTCAATTTAAGATTAGGAATAATATTTTCAACAAAATTTGTAATAACATCAAAATCAGTCAAAGTCGCAGTTTTTGAGATAAAAAAAAATTAGAAAAAATCCTTTACTTTGAAACTAAAAGAACTGCCTACCAACTTTTTATTAAGATATTTTAGTATGGGCGGCTATACGTGCCTCCCGGCGCGAATTTTTTCTTTACCGTTTCTCAAATAAATCGAAAATAACCGAGTTATTTTATTTTGAATATTTAAAAAAAATTCTTAATTTTTTAGAACCTCTGGATCTTTTCTGGGTTTTCTTTCTTGTAAATTTAATCTACCACCTATGTTGCCATATTATCAAAAAATTATATTTTTTTACTGTTTCCAAAAAAAATTGTGTTTCTGGGGTCGCAATATTCTACTCTTAAAAATATTTGCACCTATTTAAGACTCACCCTGTATAA